TGGTTTGTTTCTGCACACATTTTGTATGGAGATGTTGCTGTAGGAAACATCTTTTCCTTTCATGGGCTGTATATAGTTTTTTTTAAAATATATATATATATAAATATATGAAAGCATGCTACAGAAAGTAAGGACAGGAGGTGGCATCCAAATGAAAGTGTGTGGAGTTAAGAGAGGGCACCACAGTGTGTGTGCTCCTTGTCCCGAAAGCTCATTGTGTCTTTACTTGTGACAGGTACATGATATATATGCTTTAATTCTGCATAGACTTAAATATGTATACTTACATATACAAATGAGTATCAGTCAGACCTAGGCAATAAGACAAATTAATTATTATCAATGTCAGTGTCCCAATTCTGACATGCATTATGGTTGTGTAAGGTATGCTAATGGGAGAAACTTAGTAAAAGGTATTCCAAGTCCGTTCCCCACCCCCATCCCACCCCCATTTCTCTCTTTAACCTTCGCTGACCTAGAATTCACTCTGTAGACTGGGCTGGCCTTGAACTCATAGAAGACCACTCGCCTCTGGCTACCACTTGTCATTGAAATCTTGTTCTTAACTGTTTCTGTTACCATTTCTCTGTCGTTAAACAATGGTCCAGATTGGTCAGAGGTATGGTATTTCCCCTTCTTGATGGTCAGATGATTTTGCACATAACTTGTTTTCCTGAAAATTCTTTGACCTAGTGAAACGTTTTTTTTTTTTCAGGTTAAGTGATAAAGATTTATTAAAAATTCCTGAGGTGGTGCTCTGCTCACACCTTGAGAAAGAAATATTGTAGAAGTCTCTGAGAAACACAGTCTCAACCCCACTGGCCTAGTACAAGGAGAGAGTCATTTCTCTGAAAAGGTTGTTGGTCTTTAGTCTAAAAAAGACCCAAGAAGGAGTAAGAGGATGAGCACAGGGGGACCATCACATGACACTGGGGTCAAGGGGGGCATGCTAGAACCCCAGCTGGCTATCATTTGTGTTTCCAGCATTGGGAAACTGCCCTCCCAAAACTTTATCATCGAGGCCAGCTTTTCTCCATTCATAACTACAGCCCACCAACCCACTCACTGTAAAGAAAGTATGACTGTGGCAGGGTTGTTGTTTTCTACCTGAGGTTTGGGGTTTTTGTTTGTTTTTCTCTAGGGCTATAAACTGAACATTTGTAGACTGAGTCACTGCTGGACCACTGAACAACGTTCCTAGCCCAGCTTTGGTTCTTTATGCTGTCCTGTTTTATCCACTGTTAAGGGTTAACATGCCAATTATATTAAGATAGTTCTAAGCATTTATAAAAAAGGAAAAGTCTTTTGAACATTGGATTTACTTGGAACAAGTATATGGAACTTTTCTGAGTCTGCTTTTAAGTTGTCTTAAATGGATATTTTTGTCTTACGAATGAGAGACTTAGACACAGGGCCCTGGAGCAGCCATTTAAGACGATTTCCTTCCCTAGCTCTCATACACATGGTCTTCTGTGCCCGTTGTTACTCTGCTCTCTCTCTCTCTCCACTCCCCTGCGTTTATCTCTTTTCAAGTCTGTATCTGTTATTGACTAAAGTGTGGTTTCTGAAGAAGCTGTTATTTACCTTAAAATTAGTAGTAGTAGATCTTCAAGTGTGCACAGATATACATCTTCAAGTGTGCACAGATATACCAGGGGGATGTTTTATCAGAACTAATTTAACCTCAGTTTCTATTCTTCTCAGAACAGTGTTTCTGAACTCCTGAGGCCTGAAGAACTAACTCACACACTGGGAGCTCCTTTAACCAAAGCCTCAGTAATGTGTGAGTAGCCTTTGTTTGTCCTTGGGATTTGTTTCAGTTGGCTTTCTTCTGTGTTAAACACTGGAAATTTAATTTGCCAGAACTTTAGAAATTTGGGATATAGCCATTATATAATAACTGTAAGTAACAGGTGATACAAAATAATTTATTGAAAGGTATTTTAGGCTCTCTCTCTCTCTCTCTCTCTCTGTGTGTGTGTGTGTGTGTGTTCCCTCAGATTTTCACTCTCACCTCTTGTCTTTAGAGGTAGTCTGAGTATCACATGCTTGTCTACTTTGACCTAATGGAATGAGATAAGAAATCAAAATCATCTGGATTGTCCAGAGACTGAAAGGAAGAGACAAACCAATCTCCATCAGTTGCTGAATGGGTAAGAACCTTCTTATAATGGCTTTGCAGTTTAGTTATCTTGTGTTTCTTATGAACAGAGCACACAGCTTCTTGTTTTCTATTTTCAAGGAAAATCGATCCCACTTAAAATGAAGTCCTGGGGCTGGGGAATGGATCTGTCCCCATGGCAGAACAGGTGCCTTGTTTTGTGCAAGGTGCTGGCTTCCGTCCTCAGCGCCATGATGTTAGACTACTTGGCCTGGTCTTGGATTTTACCAGTGCAAACATATCTTCTATGAAAACTAGTGTTTGTTTTTCATAGAGACACACAGCTTTAATCCCAGCACTGGGGAGGCAGAGGCAGGTGCATCTGTGAGTTCGAGGGCCAGCCTCGCCTACATGGTAAGTTCCAGGACAGTCAGAGCTACATAGTGAAACCCTGTCACAGTGAGGAGTGTCAAGAGGTTAGAAACAGAAAATTCTGAAGGTGCTATCATATACTTTCAATGATTTTTAAAGTAAGTGAGCAGCTAAGCAGACCTATAAATTTAATACAATATTTTTATTATTTTTTAAGAATTTCATAAAATACATTTGGATCACCTTCACCTCATACTCTTCTCCAAGGTATATAAAGTTTTAAGAGGTCTGAAAGCATCTCATCTTCTTTATATTTTATTTGTGTCTATCTATACATAGGTGGGTACATAAATACTGTGATAAGAGTATGGAAGTCAGAGGACAATTTGTGGCAATCAGTTCTCTCCTTCCACTCTGGGATCCCAGGGATTGAACGGAAGCCATCAGGCATGGCACCAAGTGCCTTTACCCTCTGAGCAATTTTGCCAGCTCCTAAACATTCTATCTTATGAGTACGTTCATAAAGTTTTTTTATAATGTTTTGAAAAAAGACAATTTATTAAGTAAGTATTGGTTTATGACACAGTATTGTTAATTCAAATGAATAAGATTTTAATGTTTTGTATTAAAGCGATTATCTAGAGACCCTTTGGATTAAGTGCATAGTTTTGTTATCCCTAGATTCCAAAAATCAATGTAAAGAAGTGCACTTTCTGAAGCTACAGGGTCATGGTAGACCACTCTCCTGGCATCAACCCCCATCAGCCATAAAAACATACAGGAAGAGTGTGTGTGTGTGTGTGTGTGTGTGTGTAGTTTATATGTGTGAGTGCTGGTTTGTGTGTCTGTAAGCATGTACGCTTTCATTCACATGTGTGTATATTTACATGGAGGCCAGAGGTCAGTGTCCAGTGTCTTCCTCTGTTACTCTCCACCATATGCTTTGACACTGAGTTTCTCACTGAGCGTGGAGCTCACCTGGCTGCATAAGGATTTACTCTTTGTATTCCCCCTACCTCAAGCACTCCCAGCTTTTACATGGGCGCTGGGGATCTGAACTCACCTTTTCAGGCTTACACGGCAGGTACTTCACCCACTGAGCCAACTCCTCAGCCAGTGTAGAAGGTTTTACTCTGATGTGCAACACAAATTCCCTCAGGGAAGGTTATTTATTTTGAACTAGCATTTTCTAGAACATGTAGAGTTTTCTAGTTGTTAGGTGGTAAAATAGGGTTTATTGGTCAAGTAATTTTGGAAGCCCTAAGTTAAGCAGATGACTACTAACTTTAATATTTCCCTTTATATATATATATGCTATAGTCATCTGTGTGTCCCATATGGCATATATATGGTAACTGTGAAAAAGAGGCTTGTGGTGTGTGTGTATGTATGCATAATTTGTTTACCTTTGGAATCATTTTTCTTGCTTGCCTTTATTATAACCAAGACTGATATGAGACACATTCTAAATTGTTGTTTTAAATACTACTTCCCCCCTGTAACAGTGGTTTACAAAGCCAGAAACATATTACTCTAAAGGAGAAAATAGGCTTAACTGATTGTAGACAACTGAAGGTTTTACTCTTAAATGCTTATAGATGTATGTATACATTTGTCTTTTTAATTTTATTATGAGTGCTGTGCTCTCTTTTTATTTGAATTCTTGTTTGTTGTATCTGCTGAGATAGATTTTTCCTTGTATGTTTCTGTGGTTTAGAATTGGAGCTCATCTTCTGCTGGGTCTTGTCTGTGGAAACCTAGGTTTAGCGTATAGCCTCAAGAGCTGGCTTTCATTTGCTCCACCGGGAAGTCATTAGTCTCAGAACACTTTTATTATGTTTCTCAGTCTGAGCTCCCTAGAACCCTAAAAATGGCTTAAGTTCATGCCAGGGATGCACTGAAGCAGACTTCATTATCTCCCTGTGTACGTGGAGAGGAAGTGTTTTGTTTAAGTGCTTGGGGTTGAATTAGGGTCTCACACATTCTCTGCCACCGAACTACTCCCAAGGCCAGTGGACAGACTTTAAAATCCACTCTTGAAGCAATACTCTAGTCATTTGGAGCTGTTGGATTTCTGTGAGTGTCTGCATTCCAGTTCCCTGTCTGATTTGGCTCATAAGCCTTGTTCCTGTCCGTGTAATGCCTTTTAGAACACAACTCTTACTGAGCCGACAGCAGATTTTCTGATTCAACATCAGCTTATAGATTGCATTCTGGCATTTGGTTTCCTCAATATTGAGAGACTATGAGAATTTTCACTATATTTTAAGGTTCATCTGCATATTTAAAGGGCTAGGTTTTGGTTTTGTTATTGTTATCTATTTCAATGATGTAGGTTTCCATGATATCAAAATTAGAATTCCTGCATTAGTTTTGTAATAAAAAGGCATGTTTTTCACTTCATGGGCAAATATCTAACACTGGTATGAACAGGACTTGCATTCTTTCTGGATTTGTACTGTTGACTTGGCAGATTATAGAATTCAGATCTCTTATTTTTGTTTAGATATAAACTCTGTGATGGAAGATGATTGAAGACAAGGGGCCTCGTGTTGCTGACTACTTTGTTGTCGCAGGCTTAACTGACGTTTCAAAGCCTCTGGAAGAGGAAATTCACTTCAATGATGCCTGTCACAAAGTGGCAAAACCAAAAGAACCCATCACAGATGTTTCTGTCATCATCAAATCCCTTGGGGAGGAGGTGCCACGGGATTACGTGTGTATAGACGTTACCCCAACTGGATTGTCAGCAGACCTTAATAATGGAAGTCTTGTGGGACCCCAGATTTATCTTTGCTATAAAAGAGGGAGAGATAAACCTCCACTTACAGATCTGGGGTAAGGTTTTTAAACTGCTTGTTTAAATTGTATGCCTTGTAGATTTTGAAGTTAACTTTGTTTAGTCATTAATAGCAGTATGTTAGCTTTTGAAACAAACACACTTGCCTGGGTGTAGTCTATATGCCTGTAATCCTAGCACTTGGCAGGCTAGTGCAGGAGATTGTTATGTTTGATGCCAGCCTGAGCTACATAGTGAGAACCTGTTCTGCCCCTATCACCCATAAAAAACAGGGGTGAAGGTGGGAGGAGAATTAAAAATAAAGCAACATAGACTCAGACTTGTATATTCACTCTGTCTTTGTCTCTCTGTCCCAGGGCTCACCTTCCTGTTAGATACGAGGGAGAGAATAAATATCTTAAATGCAGAGGGTACCAGAAACTAGTGGGTCATCCTCATCACAAATTTTAAATTGAAAAAAATTTCAATTAAGGTTCTGTGTTGCCCTGGCTTTCTCAGACTCCTGCCTCAACCTCTCAAATGGATGTAACCACAGCCAGACATACATAAGAATACATGTATGCTTAACCATGTATGAGATAAGGATCTTGGGGTAAATTAGAGTCCTGCTATATTGGATTTGGGGGCTCTTTTCTATTTATAATAACCTTATTGAGATATAATCATATACCATGTAGTCTTAGCCATTTGAAGCATATAATTCAGTGTGGTCAGAGGTGTGTAACTGACACTACAACATATTTTAGAATACTTTTATCATGGCAGAAGGAAATCCTGCCTCACTAATGTGTACTGTCCAGTTTCCCAACCTTCTCAGCCCTAGGCAAACCATTTTCTTCCTTGCTCTATAGATTTGCCCTTTTGAGGTGTTTCATGCAAATGAAATTATAATGTATATGCCTTGTGTGATTGGCCTCTTTCACATAATATATTTTTAAGGTTTATCCATATTATGGTATGTACTGGTACTGTATTCCTTTATATGACCAAATAGTATTCCAGCATATGGCTTTAATATATATATGATATAATTTGTCATGACACTAGTTGATGGATATTTGAACTGTTTATACTCTGAGGGTATTATTAATAATGCTTTTATGATTATTCATATACAAGTTTTTATGTAGATATGTTTTGTTGTTTGTATGTACATACTTGGGAGTGGAATTGCTGGATCATATAATTCTGTATTCAACCTTTTGAGGAACTTCTGGAATATTTTCCAAAGCAGCTTCACAAACGTTGTACATTCCCACCAGCAGGGTTTGAGGTGGGGTGGTTCTGATTTCTTCAGTCTGCATAATATTTCATATTGCTATTTGATTATTTGTCCTAGTGAGTATGAAAAGGAATCTCATTATGATTTTAATTTGCATGCTGCTTGTGTTTGCTGATGATACTAATCATCTTTCCATGTGCTTACTATTAGCAAGTATCATTTAATAAATGTGCGTTTAGCTCTTTCACCCAGAGTTGTTTACAAATTCTTAATGCAGTCCTTCACTAGGTATATGACTTACAAATATTTTCTTCATTTAAACAATTCACTAAGCAATGATGATATATATCTTTAATCCAAGCACTCGGGGGTGGGGGGTGGGGGGGGAAGGGGGAGGAGGCAGATCTCTGCGAGTTTGAGGCCAGCATGGTCTACAGAGTGAGTTCTAGGACAGCCAGGATTTCACAGAGAAACCCTATTTATAAAAACTAAAAACTAAACAAACAAACACACACACAACAAAAACAAAACAACAGAAAATTCATTTTATGTGTATACATGTTTTGCCAGCATGTGTATCTGTGTACTACATTCGTTCTTAGTGCCCAGGGAGTCCAGAAGAGGGCATCAGCTGCCCTGAAGTGAGTTTCAGGTGAGTGTGAGCCACCACGTAGGTGCTAGGAATTGAACCCAGGCCCTCTGGAGGGGCAGCCAGTGCTCTTAACCAATGAGCCGTCTCCATTCTTTATGATATCCCTCTCATCAGTGTGTCATTTGAAGCCAGGAAAATTATTTTATTCATTATTGTATGTATGTGTGTATGTATATAGTATTATGTATGTAGTATGTATGTATGTATTTGTTTTGTCTGTGTCTCTGTTTTTCTGTCTGTCTCTATCTCTGTTCTCTCTGTGTGTGTGCGTGTGCGTTTGTTTTACCATGTAGGTTGCAGGATCTAACTCAGGTTTTCAAGCTTTGTAACAAATGCTCTTCCCCACCACGCTATCTCACTGATCCAAGTTTTGATTTTATGACTAAGTAGAATAGGCTCTGAGAGGTTAAATGCTGCCTAAAGCAATACAGTTAGCAGTAGCGTTTTAAATAATTTATATGTTTTTAAACTCCTTTGTGTTTAGAAATCTTGGAAGTATTAGAGTGAAGTATATAAGAAGATACTTACTATCTAGGCATGCAACCCTCTATAGAGTTTTAACTGTGAGTAAAATGCAGGTTATATTTCCCATAGAATGCGCTTGATTTATAGAACATAGGTAAGGAAGTATATTAATAAATGACGTAATTAAATGGAATGTTGAACGTTAAGTGTCCTTGATTCTAATTACTGCCACTGCTGTATTAATAAGCATAAAGCTTTATATGAATTTTTTATATAACTTAAAGTTTTAGTAGCGAAGCAGCTATCCTTTAATATAGGACTGTACAGCTTAGTCCTGAAATAAATTGTAGGATTTGTTAAAAACTTAACTGGAAAGAGTCAAAGTGAGGAATGTGGCAGGATACACCCAACTCTGCTGCAGAAGACGGAGATGGGACAGAATCTCGAGCAGCCACGGCTTTGAACTTGTTATGTAGCCAAGGATGCTCTTGCATTTCTGATCCTCCTGCCTCCTCTTCCTGAGTCCTGGAGTCATTGGCGTATGCCAGCACACACACAGTGCTGCGTTTAGAATGACTCGTGATGCTTAAGAATGTCACCTCTCAGGTTTGAGGGAACTTTGTGTATTTACTTTAAAAAAAAATATGTTTCAGGGTATTATATGACTGGAAAGAGAGACTGAAGCAGGGCTGTGAGATTATTCAGAGCACTCCCTACGGACGACCTGCCAACATTAGTGGCAGTACCTCATCACAAAGGATCTACATCACTTATCGAAGAGCCTCTGAAAACACGACTCAGAACACGCTGGCTGTCACGGACATATGCATTATTATACCAAGTAAAGGAGAGAGTCCGCCACACACGTTCTGCAAGGTCGACAAGAATCTCAACAATAGTATGGTAAGTTAATTCTGTATCACTAATGCACTGAGCCACTCACCAGCGAAGAAACACATAACTGTAAGACTTTTCTTGAATACAAAATAGCGTAACAAATCTGAAAAATATGTTTTTAAGGATGTTGGGTATTTTATTGTTTTCAAAAGTAATTTAGTTGTACTTTCATTCCTTATTGCTATGAAGTCAGTAAGTTAACCCCATGGCTGCCATCTTGTCCCCATGCTCTCACGCTGGATCCCATACGTTCCCCATCACTTTTCTTCTGTTATAAAAGCGTTTGGTTCCATATCCCTGTCTCTTCCATTGTCCTGTTTCTTTATAGTAAGACTTTTCAAGAGCTCGGTATGTGGTGGGGTTGGAGGAGGAATGGCTGAGTTGGTAAAGTGCTTGCCCTGCACACCCAAGGCCCTGTCTCCATCCCTGCATTGCACTGCTGGGTGTGATGGAGCATACCTATAATTTCAGCACTTGGGAACTGAGGCAGAAGGATCAAAGATTCAAGATCATCATTGGCCACATAGTAAGTCCAAAGCTGCTTTGAGCTACTGAGACTTGTCAGCCTCATTCCTGCAAGAAGGAGTTGAACAGATTTTACTCCATCCTTCTCTACAGCTCTTTCCGATTACAGGTCTGGTTTGGCTTTTGGCTTTTATTTGTTTTGGGTTTCTTGTTTGTTTTGTTTTTCTCTGTTTAGTCCTGTCTGTCCTGGAGTCCACTCTGTAGACTAGTTAGGTCTCTAACTTGCAGAGATCTGCCTGCCTCTGCCTCCTGAGTTCTGGGATCGAAGGTGTGTGTTATCACCATCTGGCTCCAGCTAAGTTTTTAACTGTGTTCATCCCAAGGCTTTTCTTGTTACTGAGTCCTGTGGCCAGTTCTTTATCTCAGCCTTTTAGGTTTTGTTACAGATGGTGACTTTTTTTTTTTATATCCCTCTAGAAGAGGTGATGCACTGGCCTGCAGTCTTCAGTCTTTTCTGTCTTAACTCACCAGCCATTCCCTTCTGTCTCTCAGCTTCCTGTGCAGTGGAGTGCCTAGGGTTCAGTTCTCAGTACTTTCATCTTTACAAAAGCTTACTTCTTTTTAATCTGATTTTTCTTTTTTCTTTCTTTCTTTTTTTTTTTTTTTTTTTTTTTTTGGTTTTTCGAGACAGGGTTTCTCTGTGTAGCCCTAGCTGTCCTGGAACTCACTCTGTAGACCAGGCTGGCCTCAAACTCAGAAATCCGCCTGCCTCTGCCTCCCAAGTGCTGGGATCAAAGGCGTGCGCCACCACTGCCCGGCTGCCTGATTTTTCTAATACAGTGTGTTAGTGACTTAAATTTCTGTGTCTGACTAGAACTCTCTAATTTATTATTTCTTGTTAGTTATCTTACTTAATAGAACACCTCAAACTTAACAGTGCAGTGAAGTCTTGATGTGCCTTTTCAGATCTTATCTTCACTGACGTTTGTCTAATAAATGAAGAATTTAACTTACTTAACAAATAAACCTTGAAGAAATATGAACCTTTCTTTTCTACTTACTGTGTCCTTCTCTGAACTCTGCTGATTCTAATTTCAAACATCCCTTGACCTTGACCACCTCTTAAGCATGGCACAGTTGTAAGCCTGATCCAAGCCATAACAATCTTTAAAGATTAAATTTACTCATTTGTTTTTTTGAGACAAATCTCACTGTGTAGACGAGGCAATCATAGAGTCAATCTGTCTCCCAAGTGCTGGGATTAAACGTATGTGCTACCAATCCAGGTCCCACTTCTCTCTCTCTCTCTCTCTCTCTCTCTCTCTCTCTCTCTCTCTCTCTCTCTCTCTCTCTCTCTCTCTGTGTGTGTGTGTGTGTGTGTGTGTAATTTCTATTCAAAGCAAACTTTTTTACTATTCATCTGTTAGTTTATTTAAATTCCTACTTTCTTTTAATACTTACAAACTATTTCAGAAACTGCAAAAATAGGGTAATAAATACAAGTTATTTCTAGTTTTCCATATTGCCAGCAGTGCTGTTTTGATCAACCCTGTGCCTTTTTCATAGAAATACTTGTTAAAAAGTCACTGGAAGAACAGATAATTGAAAGTAGAATTGGGGACTTGAGAGATGGCCTAGGGTAAGCACACTGGATGCTCTTGCAGAGGACCCAGGGTTGGTTCCCAGCACCCCCATAGTGTCTCCTCACAACAATGGGAAACCCTAGTTCCAAGGAGATCTGACCTTCAAGAGTGCCAGGCATGCATGTGGTCTACATATGTCCATGCAGGCAAACACATAAATGAATAAATAACTCTAAAGAAAAAAAGACATAGAATTGATGTGTCTGTCAGTGTACTGTGTAGTTTGAAAGACATTGACTGATTGCTTTGAAAGCATGGTGGTGATTTATATTTCCTCTAGCCTTAGTCTATAAGAATGTGCCTTCACCAGGTGGTGGTGGTGGCTCACACCTTTAATCCCAGCACTTGGGAAGCAGAGGCAGGCGGATTTCTGAGTTTGAGGCCAGCCTGGTCTACAGAGTGAGTTCTAGGACAGCCAGGACTACACAGAGAAACCCTGTCTTGAAAAACCAAAAATAAATAAATAAATAAATAAGAATGTGCCTTCTTTAGTCCCACACCTTGCCAACATTGACTGCTGTCAGTTAATGTCTTTTGAATTAACAAGTATAAATCACTATGATTTTAATATATTTTTTGGCTATTGTGGCTTTTGAACATCCTTTAATGTATGTAACTTCCCCCTGCACCTGTGGGAAACACATTCCAAGACTCCTAGAGATACTCCTAGATCTTAAAAAAGATTTTACTTGTAATTGCGTGTCTGTATTTGGGTATGTGCACATGAGTTCAGATGCTCACGGAGGTCAGAAGCTTTGGATTCCTTGGAGCTGGAGTTGCAGGCTTGTGAGCTGCCTGATGTAATTAGGAGTAGAACTTAGGTCTCTGTGAGAGACGTTCATCCTCTTTACCGCTGAGTCATCTCTCTGCCCTTTCCCTTGGATTTTTGAAAAACACTTAGCTGTAGATACTGTGCTTTTCCCTGTATGCATTTATAATACAATTTAACGTATGCACAAGGCATGGTAAGGGATTAGCACCAGTAACTAGTGCTGTAGCAAAGCAGTAGAGCAGCAGCCGGCATCACTGCTCCTCGGTGTTGGATCCGTTGTTAAGTGTGGTGAGGGTTTCTTAGACACAGGCACTGCTGCTGCTGTCGGGTGAGTAATGGGCAGATAGCAAACACTGCAAGTACATTCTGAACAAAGGGATGATTCGTGTCCTAGACAGGATGGAGCAGGATAGTGCAAGTCCCCATCACAAATGCCGTGCAGGTTACAACTTCTAACTTGATGGAGGAGGTGCTGATGAGGCCCCATCTCGACTTGAAAAGTTTCTGGCAGTTGGTGGCTGCTAGAGGAATGAGAATAACTTTTTGTTGCTTTTGTTTGCTATTTATGAGTGTCTTAACTGCATGTGTGTCTGTGTACCAAGTGTGTGTGCCTGGTGCCCATGGACGCCAGAGGAGGGCATTGAACCCCTGGGACCAGAATTACAGATCATTGTGAGCTGTCTTGTGGGTGCTGGGAGTTGAATTTGGGTCCTTTAGAAGAGCAACCAGTGCTCTTAATAGCTGAACCATCTCTCCAGCCCTGGGGAGTAAGTGTTCTTTGAAGGTGCGGCCACCGGTAGGCTGCCCGTGGTCCAGTTGATGCCCCACACCCATGCACTATAGAGAGCACTAACTGGAGCTAATAAAAACTATCAGACAAGCAAGGGGACATGGATTTGGGAGTTAAGGGAGATCCAGGGGAGCTGAGAGATAGAGGAAGGGGGGGGTCAACTGACCACAGGCAACTGGACTGTGAAAACTGAAAGTGTGGATTAGGGAGGGCTACTGAATATAACAGTTTTTAATGAAGATGGTTGCATTAGATGAGTTTTCTGTAATTTGTTCTGTCTTCTACCGTAGGATATTTAAATTCTGGTTTTTAATATTAGAAGCAAGCTGTTGGTATCACTAAATTTTACACGAATAAGTTGTATTTACCTAGTGCCTATGTGCTGTGTGGTATACTAGGTGTTTCTTCACTCCTGCCAGTGACCTGAGTAGATATCTTACTCCCATTTTACAGAGAAGCAAATTTGAGAATTAAAAAGTGGTTCTTTCCTCATATCAACACCTTCAATAAGTTGGTGAAGCAAGACTCAAAGACCCAGGCTGTAAAACTGCAAAGCCAAGAGCTAGCATTGTCCCATACTGCTGGTGCCCCGGTGTGTGGCCTAATTCCTGTATCAAAGTCTATGTTCAGTCCCAAGATTTGTATCAAGAAAATTTTAACTCATTTATGCTCCTGTCAATTTATAAATTTGTTAAGAGTTGAACTTTTAATTACCAATTTTCAAATTTAACTGCTCAGCATGTACAAACAAGCACTTTACAGATACTAGGTTATTTAATGGCAATTATCAGTGGATCTGTTTGATGGTTAATGAAAAGTCAGACCAAGCCATTTCTGTAAGAAACAATTTGAAAAGTGGTTACTGACAATATCTAACTTTATCTTAAAAGAATTTACCTGTAGATATGTCCCCCTAATTAGATTACCATTTTTTTACTGTAACTAATAATACGTAGAAAATGTCTGTAGATTATTAGATTTAGCAATATTATGTGGGTCTTGTGATTATAGTAGACGAAAATCATGGTAGCAAATAGAATTTGGGGGGTGGGGCTGGTCCAAGGTGAGAAAAGGTGTCATTCTGTAGCTCAGCCTGGTTGTAGCCAAATCAGCCTCCAGCTCCTGGTGAGCCTCTTGTCTCCCTCACCCTCCCAGGTGCTGAGGGTACAAGCACAAGCCACACATTTGGTCCACAAATAGTTTTTAAAGGCTATATATGGTAATAGCTAGGGCAAAGAATGTTATTGAACTCATTCATGAATATGGGGTCTAGCATACAGCATTTCAGATTTGATTTGGTATTTTAGCAACACTATACAAGCCTACAGATGTATTTATGTATTTGTTTCTGGCTGAAAGTAATTGACATTGTCATTAGAACTGTTTCTAAGTCTCATTAACTAATCAAGGTGTTCTAGCTAAACCTTTGCCATTGAAATTAAAACCAGAATGTGTTTCTTTTTTCTTAACTGAGACAGTAGTCTCTCTATTGCCACAGAGCATGTATCCTCCTCTGCAGAGAATAAAGAGGCATTGTTAACAGCATGGTCAGCATAGGCTCTGGCCAGCCTGCTTAGGTTTGAATCTCACGTGTCTATAGAGGACAAATTCACCATTTGTGCCTCAGTTTTCTCGCTCATAGACTAGGGGTATAGTGAGGCTTTTGTTTTGTACATAGGCTTTTTGAAGAGTAAATAAATTAGTATTAGAACTTGGGACAGTGCCTACAGCAATAGCAAATTATATATAAATGTCATATATTAATTACCATTAATTACTACTAATTTCTTTCATGTGTTTAATATTTAGAGAAGAGCTTTTTAAAAAATTATTTTATTTATTTACATTCCAGTCACTGCCCCCTTTATGCCCCCTTCCTACAGTTCCTCATCCCATTCCTCCTCCCCCTTGCCTCTGAGAGGGTGTTCCCCCCCCCCACATCAGACCTCCCCCTTCTATGGGATCTCAAGGCTTTCAAGGATTAACTTAGGCTAGACCAGGCAGACCTCTGCTACATATGTGCCAGGGACCTCAGACCAGCCTGTGTATGTTCCTGATTGGTGGCTCAGTCTCTAAGAGCTCCCTGGGATCGGTCCGGGTTAGTTGAGACTGTTGGTCTTCCTATGGGGTTGCTCTCCCCTTCAGCTTCTTCAGTCCTTCCCCTAGCTCAACCATAGGGGTCCAGACTTCAGTCCAATGGTTGGGTGTTGCTATCTGCCTCTGTCTCAGTCGGCTGTTGGTAGAGCCTCTTTGAGGACAGCCATGCCAGGCTCCTGTCTGCAAGCACAGCATAGCATAGCAGTGTCAGGCGTTGGTGCCCCCCACTCCATGAGATGGATCCCAAGTTGGGCTGATCATTGGACCTCCTTTCCTTCAGTCTCTTAGAGAGGAGCTTTTTTAAAAAAAAAAAAATGTGTCTGGTTGTTAAATTTGTCCTAAGTTTTCCTAATGAAAAAAGATTATAGAAAGAATGGTCATTGATACTTCTGCCCAAGTTTCGATCTTAGAATAAAGTCTAAATTTTTGTGACTTAGTTTTATTTTGAAGGATCAAATTTTCCTATTATTGTGAAGAGGGGAATTGCCATCTTCTCAAAGAAATGTAAACAATGATTCTAATAAAATGCTAACAAATTAGTAGATTGGCAATAGTCTGCAGGTGAACTCTGTTACACATGGTAGTGAGTTCATATGGAGAGCTCAAACATTTCATTTCATCAGGTTACTGCCTTTTAAAAATTAAATGCTATTTTTTCTTCTCTCTTCAGTGGGGATCTGCAGTGTATTTATGCTATAAAAAATCAGTGGCAAAGACTAACACT